CCGGTTTGGCTCAGTGGATAGAGCGTCGGCCTGCAGTCTCAAGGGTCCCAGGTTCGAGTCCGGTAAAAGGGCATGTACCTGTGTTGCGGGCACATCCCCAGTGGGGGGTGTGCAGGAGGCAACTGGTCGATGTTTCTCTCTCGTCGATGTTTCTAACTCTCTATCTCTCTCCCTCCCTCTCTGTGGAGAATCAATGAAATATATTTAGAAAAAAAAAAGAAGTGGAGTGTCCCTGCCCTGTGTGTCATGCTCCTGGGGGCTCAGCATGACAAGCAGGTCCTCACATACGCTTCCCCTTTGGGGGGCAGGGGGTTCACAGCCAGCAGGCAGCAGTGCCATCTTTGAGCAGATTCTGTCACAGCCACAGCATGCAGTGTTTCAGGGAAGCATCCAGGGTCCAGGGGTTGGTCTGCACCCCCCTCCTCCTGTGAACTCGTCTCTCCCATGAGATGGTTGACTCCCTTTGGAGAAGGGAATTATCTTTTTTAAAATTATTATTATTGATTTCAGAGGAAGGACGAGGGAGAGAGAGAAACATCCATGATGAGAGAATCATTGATCGGCTGCCTCCTGCGCGCCCCACACTGGGGATCGAACCCACAACCTGGGCATGTGTCCTGACTGGGAATAGAACCGTGACTTCCTGGTTCATAGGTGGATGCTCAACCACTGAGCCACCATGGCTGGGCCAGGTAATTAATTATCTTTTGTTTCCCCTCCTTCAGTGCCCAGCCTAGTGCTCTGAACATTATTGTGTAGTAAACATTTAAGCCAAAGCAAGTGTCTTCTCCTGGAGCACAGCTTCTTTGCTCATAAAGCGATGCCACGGACCCAGAAGTTCCTCCCTAGAAGGACTGGCCCGCTCCTTGGGAGGGGGCAGGGCTGAGTGGGAGCGGGCAGGGCTATAGAACTGCTGCTTTCGACCACACGAAAACCGCTAAGAACTGTAAAAGGATTAAACACAGGGCAGTGTAGTTATTCCCACCTTGTAGTTGAAGACAGTGAAGTTCCAGGACGTCACCCGGCTGGCATATGGACTCCTAGTCCAGTGCTCACTCCCCTGACCCGGAGATCTGCCGTCTCCTGCCCAACTGATGGCCAGGCTCTCCGCAGCAGGGGAGATGGGGGGTCGGGGGGGGGGGCGTCCCCTTATCCCACCGCCGTTAGACTTCCCCATCCCAGGCGCCTGCCGTGGTTTCTGCCAATGAGCGGACAGAGCCCCCCGGGGGGTGAGGGTGGGGGGCTCCTCTAATACCTGGCACTTGGCGGGGCGCTAACGCCTTTGCGACAAGGGGGGCGGCATCCTCGCCCCCAGTTTTGCCCTCATGAAGGGAGGCTTAGAGGTGAAATCACTCGTTGGGCGAAAGCGGGTGGGAGTGGAGAGGGAGGAGGTCCTTAGCATGAGGAACGGAGGCCCCTGGGGCGGGAGTGCGGGTGTGCAGGTTGTGGGGTCCCCTGACCTGGACCTGGGAGCAGGGCTGATGGGGCGGGGCGGGCACTGGGGGGCGGGCT